CATATCTCATGATTTCTTCCTCATTGGTTGATGATGACTTGATGTCCTCATCAGTTTCAAATAAGAACTATGTATGTCATTCCTTAAAGTGGAACCAATATATAACGATTTACTTTTAAAATGCAAACTCTATATTGTATGAAACTATGAAACATAGAAAACATGCCACATAGAATCAACACTTAACAGAACAAAAAAGTAATTGTTGTGATTCAAGAATGTAACTCAAACCAACACAATAAAAAATACAACTTCTTATTCCTTCTCATTTTGCATTTTAACTAATTTGAGCTTTTCCATCAACCTATTCAACACTACATCTGAAGATCCTCCTTTCACCGCGTCTTTCCCAATTTTCACTAACTCCTTTGCATGTATTCTCCTCTCTTCCCCAACCATCACTTCCCATACCGCTTTCTCCACTTTCTCTCTGCCAATGAAATCTCCAACAACTTTCATCATCTTCTTCACTCCCACACTCATCCTTGTTTTTAACAGTTGTGTCATCAGTTAGACGTTGTAGAATTGCTCCGCTCCCATGGGCCATGTCACCAGTGGCAGGCCCGATGCTACGCCTTCGAGAAGCGAGTTCCATCCGCAATGCGTCAAAAATCCCTCAATTGTTTGGTGGTCTAGAATCAGCACTTGTGGCGCCTACCCGCGGATTATCAATGCTTTCCTTTTCTTCCTCTCTTCAACCCCTCTGGTAACCACTCTTTTTCCTCCCATGATCACAAAAACCAAGCAATCTTCAATATTTTATTCAAATTTTATTTCCTAGTTTTTGTAAATGACAAAGAAAATCAAAACTGTACGTGCATTTAAATTATGCAACCTAAAAATGAATACATGAATGTTTAAATATGTTTTTTTTTTTTAAATCTTCACATGTATAAACCAGATGTAAAAATTAGCGCTTGAAACGGTTATATCCTAAACCATTAGTTTTCTCTAAACAAAACAGAGGATTATACTGCAAGTAATAGCTAAAGAGATCTCTATGATTACCTTGGCTGCCATTTTTGCTAACCACCCAGACAAAATCAAGTCCTGACATTTCTTTTTTTCTTTTTGGTTGAAAAGTCATGACATTCTAAGCCAGCTACAATCTCTATAAGTTGCTTGTTATTGAAGCTCGTCATAATTCCAAAGGACACGTAAATCACTCAATCACATCTCTTAGAATCAAGCCATTTCAAACATTCATGCTCATCAGTGCTCGGTCCCCCCCCCCCCCTTTTCCTACTTTTTATTGAACTCTCTGTTTCCTAAAGAAAGCGGATAGATAGTATATGTACCTGATATTAGTCGCAAAAAGTAATATATGATAGCTAACATGTAAGATGAATAATAACAGGTCTGATGGTCGATTAAAAGAGTTTGAAAATGGCTGACATATGATTTTTTCTCTCGTGTATAAGCTACAACATTAGCAATCAAGTAAACAATAATAAAATTACTTATGAAGTAAGAACAAAAGAATTATACCATCAATTTTTTAGACTGGTTTAAATGAAGCCACCGATACATAACAGTGTGAGTCTATATTATGACACTATACATGTAATCAAATACCGACAGTAAATTCGTGAATGAAAAAATATAAAAACGTATACTAAAAAATGGTTATCCTAGGTAATGCATACCTTCCATATATCTTTGTGATTAAGACAATGTGGCCGTAGAATAAAAAAAAAAATCATCAACATCAACTCTAGGCCATGAAATAAGAAGAAAAATATTTTTTTGACCGGAAAAATTGGAAGTAGATCGAAGGAACCCCCCTATTTGCCAATAGAAATGTTGGCGTCCAGATCTGCGGTAGAGTTTGTAAGACCACGACTCCCATGATCCTGAACCGATCTTACCTGGGATCGCAAATCCCCTACGGATTGGAGCGAAAGCTAACCATCAGTGTATGTAGCATATATACGTATACATACTCACAGACTTTTTAAAATGTAGGCTTACTACATCAAGAGTAAAATAACTTACCATGAAAGAAGGCGAAGTAGGGGGTTGTTATACAGAAATACTTGAAATCAATTATCGCGTCTCGAACATGGCTGCACTGCACTTCATGGCACCATCTTAATTTTGATGAAATATGGAAAGAAGTGAAAAAATTGAGTGTTTACCTCCATATGGGTGGGAAGAGGACCTTTGGCACCTTGGCTATGTTGGAACCTTTGGAAAATCATGAACAATATGATCTTCAGTAAAAAAGACACCTTACCATTAGAGGTCGAGAAAAAAGCGATTTGTGATGGCAGAGAATGGCAAGAGAACCAAGAGAGTAAATCCAAGCCTTTGATGCTTTTGGTGTCTAAATCTGTTGAAGCTCCTTGTGGTGAGTATGTATGTCAGAAAGATGCGGTGTGGCAAGAGGACTGCCAATTAGCCGGCCTAGGCTGGACTCTTGTTCACCAAAGACTCAAGACCATGCAGTGTTTCTTCAAAGGATTGGAATTCGTTAGGCTCCCCTTTAATGGCCGAGGGCTGGCAATTCGAGCAGCCTTAACACACGTATTGGGAGAAGAAATAAGGACAATCTCGGTAAAATCTGACTCTTTACAACTGGTTCGAGCCATCAACTCAGGCTCTAAGGTTTCTAAACTTCATGGTATCTTTACTGATATGTCATTTCTTTTCAAACGATTTGAATCTATCTCTTTTAGTTATATCCGAAGGAATCACGGTTTTAGCCTAATGATAGGGCTATAAAAGCAGTAGGCCCATAATGAATGTAAAAAAAATCCTTTATATTTTAAGACCTAAATTTTTATATTGTAGGATCCAAATTATCTATACTTATAAATCGGAAGTCGCAGATCCTAGGTCGCAGCTCCAGAGTGAGTTTAAGACTTGAGCTTCCAAAAATACCATTAATGACTCTCGAAATTACGTCTCCATGCCACCACGATTTAATGAAGCAATATTAATAGGCCACGATTTTTTTATTTAATATTAATGGGTTTGGCTAATTTAATGAGATTTAGATATATGAGCCACAATTTTAGATATATAGTTATATTAATATATTAAGATATCATCTTACAGAGATATTTAGAAATCATTAAATAGTATAAGATTCGTTCATATCTATATTGTTGGCTAATTTAATGTTAATTTTTCATAATTATCCGAAAGGTAAAATCCTAGATTTTGTGGTGTATATATATACACATAGTTTTGGTACCCCCATTGCATATCATATTTTTCGTTTTTGTTAGAGTTTTAGGTCTGTTCATTTATTTTTTCTTTTCGGTTTTGTAATTCTTTGAATTGTTTCATAATCGTACTAATGTGTTTCTGGTTCTTATGTTTTTTTTACAAGTTTGACGCATGATGGATTGAGGAATTTGATATTATATATTTTGTTCATTCAATATATGATTTATGTTAATAGCTAGCTTCCATAATATTTTTAATCTTTGTGTCATTATAATTTTCTAGGTTTGGTGGTCTGTCGTTTTTCTTACTAATGATTTGTTTGTTGTTGTTCGCTTTTTTTTTGCTAATGATCACATTTTTTACTAATGA